CAACCAGCAAGGAGTGCGAGTTTCAACTGCTCAGCAGGTTAGCAAGCTGGTAACTTCTTGTGAGGACTGGATTCACTGAGCAAAGCATTTGGTGGTTTCTTGATGTTTAATTGGGGTTTCCATAATTAAAGTAATAGCAATTTGGCATTCACATGACTATTTGCCATCTACATATCTTGTTTAATAATGTATTACTCAGATAATTTACTTATACTTTTGGGGACTGTCAACAGAATAGCTTGTGATTGAAAGGTTTGGCCCAGACAGGACACTGTAGCCAGGAAAGCCACAACCGGAAGCAGGAAGCCCCATCTTGCCCTGCCCCTAGGAAGTTACCTGTGATGCCATCTTCCCGCCCCTGGGAATTTACATATGGTGCCAAACCTAGGACCAATGGGCTACCTGTGTATCCCTAATGCCCGCCTTAGGTTCCACCCCAAACCGAGGTTATTTACAGGCCCCCACGCCGCGTGTCCGCCGGAGAGATCGCTGGACGCCAGCGGTGGGGTGCCGGTCATCTCTCTCCGTGTTCTCAGAATAAAGGCCGCTTTTTATTTTATATTTCTCATCTTTTGTTAATATTTTTCATCTTTTGGAAATAACTCTATCATTTGTTGCTGTGACTCTATCGGCAGGCAACTGACTGTTGGGCCACATACCCAAAGTCTTCTAGCCGATAGCCAGATAACATCCTGGATTAATCCCGAGCTTTTTCCTCTCCCGAGATGTTCCTGTTGCCAGCCGCCTGCACTCCGCATCGGCCAGACTGATTTCAGGTGAGCACTCCCCGGGGAACTTTTCGCACTGGGCAGCCCCAGTGGAATGTTCTCCCCGTCTGCGTGGGTCTGTGCATTTTCACGTCCTTAGGACCGCCCAGGGCAGGGTTCTTTCTAGGCAAACCTGTGCCCACAAAATCTCTCACGTTCTTTGGGTTCGGATAGCCCAAAGCAGAGATTTTTGGGACCGCCCACACTGAAAGAATGCCTCACTTCCCTTAAAGCCTTGCGCTTTCATGGGCAAAACTGTTACTGACCCCACGTAGACTCCATTCGTAAATCTCTCAGTGACGACTGGAGTTTACGGTTTGGAACCGTAGCCGGCGCGTGGTACCACAAATAAGTGACGACTTTTTTCTGGACCTCCGGTTTTTTTTCTTGCCTGAATCAGTCATGGGGAACGTATTTTCTAACTCCCAAAAGACGCCTTTAAAATGCCTAATTTCCAATTTACGTACTCTAAAAATTAAAGGTACCATAAAAACTAAACAACTAACTTTTTACTGCCAGGAGGTCTGGCCAACCTACCCGCTTATCGGCAAGCCTTGGCCTCGGCAAGGAACATTTGACCCCTGCATTCTCAGGAACTTGTATGATTTTTGTCAAGCTGGCAACAAGTTATTGGAACTCCCTTATGTCCAAGCCTTTCTTATTCTGAGAACACGCCCATCTCTCATTAAGTCTTGTGCTCCAGCTGAGATACTTTTAGCTAAGTCTACTGCGCCGCAAACTTTTCCGTCCTGCTCTCCGTTTTCCCAGCCGCCGCCTGCCTACCACCAAACTCGTTCCCTGCCGTTACCTCCTGCCAGACCACTCTCTTCTTCCCCTATGCCTGATTCTCTCAGCAGCTCTAATCCCTCTCCATTGCAGATACCTCCCACTGTACGATCATCTCCCTCTCCGCCTTCCAGGACCCATAATTCTCCCAGCAGCTCTAATCCCTCTGTGTCACAGTTATCTCCCGATGTTCCATCCTCTCCCCCGCCTTCTCCTGGGACCCATAACTCTCCCAGTGGCTCTGATCCCTCTGTTAGTGCTTCCTCACAGTCTCCGACTTCTCCTGAGAATTCTCTATCCCTACAGCATTCTCACCGCCTGCCCACCATACTAGGTCTCGGTCGCTATGTCCTTCCAGCAGGTCGCGTGATTGTTTCAGCTTGCGCGGGGAACAGTCGCCATGTTGCAACCCTCTGCCACGTGGCATGGTGCCGCCATGTTCCGGAGGGCCACATGGCGACAGGGCGCCACCATGTTTCGGGCCATGTGACAGGGCGCTGCCATGTTCCCAGGCACCGCCATGTTTTGGGTCACGTGACAGGGCACCGCCATGTTTCCAGGGCCCTCACTGTCAACAGGCATCTCCTTGTGGCTCCTCTTGTGGACTACAACAGCCGCCCTGTTGCAGTGCACATGACACTTCATTGTGCTGCCAACAGCAGTCCTCTAGCTGCAAGGCACACAGTGAGACGCCATCTGCTCGTGTTTCCCAGGGTGACCGGCAGCAGCTCTGTAGCCGCTCTACAGATGATTGCTCACACGCGCCTACCGGAAAGATGGCTGCTCAAAAGCCCTCTGCTCTGGAATCTCCTCAGGCTCTGCTACCGCTTCGGGAGCAAGCTGACCCCAAGGAACTTGTTAACATCCATGTGCCTTTTTCCCTTTCTGATCTATCCCAGACTGCCCATAAATTAGGTAGCTTTTCTGTTGACCCACAGAATTATATCAGGCAATTTGAATTCATTACTAATTGTTATGACTTACGTTTTAAGGATGTTTATGTGATTCTAGATACCTCTCTCATCTCACAAGAACAGAATCAGCTGTGGCAAGCAGTTCGAGAAAAAGCTGATCACAGACCTGAGGTAAACACCGCTGGTAATGACTCTAGGCCTATAGCTATGCCAGAGCAGGACAAGCATACTAACTATAACAAACTTTTAAAACAGGTCCAGGAAGCTAATCAAAACCCAGCTGTGTTCCTAAATTGGCTTTCTAATCCTCGAGCCCTGCAAGCAGTTCCAGCTTTGCGCACTGTGTCAGGCTGCCTCCCAGGCCCTCCCCCCTGCGCCGTCCCAGCCCCTCCCTCCCCTGTGCGCCATCGTCGTCCTCGCCGCTGCTGCCACCTTACACGTTTCCGGGGGCAGTCCGAGCCCGCCCCTGCGAGCTACATCCCAGCGCTTGCCCCACCCACTGGGCGTGCTCTGCCGGAGCGCCGCAAAACAGCAGCTCAGCGGCTCTGCTCAGGCATGCTTTTTTTTACAATTTGGCTCCGCTTAAAAGATGCTTTTTTATTACAATTCTCAAACCATTTAATCAAGGTTATTGGCCACCTGATAATTTTACCAGCCTTGTTTATCAATCAAAGCCTTCACCAATCTCCTGTTTAACAGCTAAGGTTATAAATTCCTTTTTGCTGGGAACCACTAGCTCTATTTCAAGACAAGGGTTTTCTTCTAAGTTTTAATTTTATTTGTCTTGGTTCATACTACTGCAAATAACAACTTTAAAAGTAAATGTGTTCAGAATTTGACAGTATTAGATCAGTTTTGATAGATTTAGTCATAAGATTGCTAAACCTTTACTGCAAAATGTTTCCATTAAAGCCTTTTTGGGCAGATTAAAGCTTTGTTAATTCTACATGTCACCCTATAAAAAAGCAATGTGCCATCCAGATAAAGCCTGCTTTCTAATCTAAAATGCCAATATTAAATTCCTGCATACTTACTTAATTCTACTGTAGTCTAAATCCCAAACAAAAAGGCAAAACTTGACCTTCAAACCTTAGAGAGATCTTAATATGGTTTTTTATATTTTTAACACTTGTGACACTTGGAGTTCTGAGACAGGTAAACCTACACAAGGTGGAGCTGCCTGCCCCCTCCATGGACCACGCTCAAATGCAGCAGAAGACATTGGGCAAGAAAATGCCTCTTCCTGGCATTCTTTGAGACCTTACTCCAGGGCCGCTGGACTGTCCTAGCCACCAGAGAGTGGGTAAGCCATCCTAAGTTCTAGCCCTCATAGGAAATGTCGACACTGCCAGATTCGTCACCGACAGAAAATCGCTGCTGGAGGCTGAGGGGGTTCAGGGCAACAACAGCCCCCTTTAAGGTGTCCGTCTCAGATTCCAAGTTGCACTAAAGTCTCAGGTAAGACATTCTCTATATTTGTGGACATAGAGGCCATATATACAGAGGTCTTCCTGAGTATTCAGGCTGCTATATTAAGTCCTCAATCTCTGGGGGTATTGATGGTCAACCTATGCCATTTACAAACAGGGCCTATTTTGTGCAGGTCCCAGTCTTCTCACTTGGTTTATATGTTTTCAGGATACATAAAAGCCTTTCTCATACTTGCTAAAGTTCTGTTACAGCAAATCATTCCAAGGACTACAACCAGGTTACAGTGACCCATGCCTAAATCAAAGTTGCTGGACTGCCATCCTGGTTTCACATTGCTCAGGCTAAGAGGTGCCCTCCCAGCCCTAAATCTGATCATTCTGAGTGGTCATCTCATCTTCTGTCGCCTACCCGTCTCCGTCTCACAAAGGCCTCGCAGCCACAGTTAACAGGCTAAGTCATGTTTTGTTATCCACTTTGGTTCCTAATTTCTTTTCTATTAATGATCATTTTTACAGCAGGACTCTTGGCAGTCTTTCCTAAAGACTCCCACATCATGCGTAAGATAATCTTCATAATGTTCTATATGATAACAGTTGCAGTTCTTTCTACCCTCAGCTGTCTGGTTAAACGTGACATCCCTGAAAGCATAAGCCCTTACCTTCCCTATACGGGTACAGCCACGGCCTTCCCTGCTCCCCCTATTCTTTCCAGTTCAACTCCTGGACCGGAGACAAGTTTTATACACCTACCGTCTTAACTTTTATGTTTTCAGATGGGGGAGTAATCACCTCTCATAACTCCACTGCTCCTAACCCCACGTTTAATTTTCAGAATTCTGCCTCACCATGGAAATGTTTCTACCTCAACATGGTCCTGATAGAATGATATGTCTAAATCAAAGGCACCTTTCCCTTTACCTCACCTGGGTCCTTAAATATGACAGTGCCATGTCTCCTCATAACATTTTGTCTCTTTGTTTTTCCAGTCTGACATACGTGCATTCACCAGTGAAGCTGTCCTGGCCAAAACACCTGGCACCAGCGTCTACCTGGGCATCAACCTTCATCCCGTCGACTCCCCTAGGCTCCAGTACAGTGCCCTTTGCCAGCAGGAAGTAGTTAAAGAGAGAAATCTTCGCCCCTTTTCATAATAATAACCATAAGACGGGATATGAAAGGTTTGGCCCAGACAGGACACTGTAGCCAGGAAAGCCACAACCGGAAGCAGGAAGCCCCATCTTGCCCTGCCCCTAGGAAGTTACCTGTGACGCCATCTTCCCGCCCCTGGGAATTTACATATGGCGCCAAACCTAGGACCAATGGGCTACCTGTGTATCCCCAATGCCCGCCTTAGGTTCCACCCCAAACCGAGGCTATTTACAGGCCCCCACGCCGCGTGTCCGCCGGAGAGATCGCCGGACGCCAGCGGTGGGGTGCCGGTCATCTCTCTCCGTGTTCTCAGAATAAAGGCCGCTTTTTATTTTATATTTCTCATCTTTTGTTAATATTTTTCATCTTTTGGAAATAACTCTATCAGTGATTTGTAGTAGTTTTTCAAAGTTCTGTTCAGAAACTTGTGCTCTAATTTTCAATTGCTTCCCTCAAAGTAGTTATGCACAAATGTATGTACTCCAAAACAATGACTTGAATATACATGAGCATGATCAGCCAATTCTCCATCCACAATATGAGTACTGTATATCCACAATATGCACATATATCCACAATATATATACTGTATACAAGGTACATGCTAATAAAAATAAACAAAAGCTATGGAGTATGGTAGAACATTCAATTCTAAGTAAATACACTTATTATTTTAAAGTGTAGAATTAAATTAGTCTTTTGACATAATCTACATTAAACCTTTACAATCTGATTGAAATAAACTTTTAGTGGACAAAACAAAATAACATTTTTTTGAATTAAAAAGAGACTCAGTTAAAAATTGTGAGTTACATTATGGTAGTTACTGTTAATTGTGAGTTATGGTGAAATACAGTGTTGCTTACATTGTTCTGATCTGCTTTGTTACATCCTCTTTTGTCTTAAACTCTTTAAAATAAAAAAGATTTAAAAATTGTGACTTAATTAAATGTCATGATTGGTGATTTATGTGAAGGAAGAGGAGCCTACCAATATGAGTTGCCAATAGTAGAGAAAATTGGTGTGGGATATGAAACATCTCTATGTATTTGTTAATGTTTCTGTGTATTGGTGCCTGTTTAAATAAGTGAACTTAAACTGAATTCATATTTGTTCACTTTTTCGAATTTGCATTCAATATCTTGAAAATACCATTGTAAATGGCACCTGCCATTTTTGGAAATGGATGGAAATGAACAAAATCTGAACTAGAAGACTGTTCTGGTGGAAATTTCCTGAAAGGTCATGAGCGTGTCAGGCAGCTCTTTCCTTCTGGATTATGCCCAGGCTCTGGCTTACTGACATGGTAGCTAAAGACAGGGTGTGGGTAGAATACAAGTGGTAAAGAGTATAGCGGCTGCTCTCATGCGTCCCCTGCTGTTCTGAGTTTCCCTGCAGGGAAGTTTATTCTGGCCTGATGTCCCCACACTGTTTCTTGCCCAGCAATACATGGCCTTGTCCTTGACTCTCAGGCTGCTCAGCTCCATGTAGGCTGTGCTGGAGGACATGACTGAGATGAGCATGCCAGTGCCCTGAAACTTCTGAGCTTATCCAGTTTCTCCATCCTCTGGATGAATCCATCCCATACACTCCAGGATCTTACCCTGGTCTCTGTAGCACCCACTGTATGAGGCAGTCTGTGAAGGTGTAGCCTGACACCTTACAGGAGACCTTCACTGAGGCCCAGGGCTTTCTCAGATTAGCCCCAGGCTGTACCAAATGCATTTCAACTTCAGAACCTGTGGAGGGAGAACAGAAGTTGGAGTCAGTGTCCCCTGACAAGCTCTGGTCTCTTCCTCAGCCCTAGCCCTTGAAATGACCTTACATTTCACAGCTGTCACGAAGAAGAGGATTCTGCATGTCCAGTCCATGGTAAGAAACTGTGCTTTGGATGATTCTGCAGAAGAGAGTGATGGCTGTTGAGTGATCTAGCCACAGACTTACCCATATTTACCTCAGGCAACTTGAGTTATTTGCATATTAGCAATCAAAAATTAGTTAGCTCTTCACCCAGACCCAATCCAACCTTAAGGGGAAGTAGTTTTCCATGGGCCATGCAGCAGTGTGCTATGAGTATCCATGTGTTTTTTCTGTATGAGGAAATGCAACTCCTGACACTTCCTAAAGTCCTGTGAATACAGTCCTCACCTCTCTGAGAATCAAGGCACCAAAGAAGGTTCTGCCCTCTGAATCCACCTCTAAATGAACTACAAACCACCTGCACTTCTTTGACATCAGCATACTGATGCTAAATGTGTGCATTGATCTCTGTTTCTATCATTTATGAACAAAATTCATTGTTCAATTTGTGAGAGGGACACTGTCCATTCCAGGCAAATACTCAGAATGAATCATGGACAACTCTGATTTCAGCCAGGGAAGCTTGGAAAATTTCCTCAGGACCTGTCTGTTAATTGTCTGTAAATTCAGAAAGCCAAATTCATTCTTTTTTCTCATTGCTGCTGTCATTAATTTTTATTGCAGAGACCATATATTGTACTTTTCTGTCACCTCCAAGCCTTTTTCAGTTAGTTTATTATGCTATGGTAGCATGGTCTTGTCTGAACACAATTTTTTTTGAATACCCGTAAAGGCAGCTGCTTATTTCTACTGTGTGTACACTTGGCAATTCTTTCATAGCCATTCATAAGATCCTGGAATATGATAGAACCATTCCATGGCAACAAAGTCATTAAGAGAAACTAACTATAACCGTATGTGTCCTACAGTGTGCCCCAGGTTTGTGGTTCTGCAAAACACAGAAGAATGAAGTTGTCAACCAAAGAAGGAAGTTAGGAAAGTTTCATTGAAAAGAGCTCATTGGTGTTCAAGAAGGATCCTGCCTAGGTTGCCATTCAGCCCCTCAATTTACATTTATTTACAGGTAAACAAGGCCCAGGGATTGCTAGGTAGTTTAGTGGATCCCTCTCAAGGGCATTTCTGGAAGGTAAAATACTGACCAGTTGTTAATTAGGCCCAATTCCTTTACATAGTATTTGCAGTCAATTGAGACCTTAGAAGGTTACAGTTATTTTTCATTATAATTTCTTCAAACTCTTTAGGAGGGGCTGAGCTGTATTCTATTTCATAGAAGAAACTCATTGTATTTTATCTCCTCACTATTCAGAAGCTCAGGATGTGGTGGTGCCTCTCTTTAAAGTGGAGGGGCTGTATTAATGTTGGTTGAGAAACATTCATTCCTGGCCAAAGTCCTAGCATATTGTGTATCCCCACAGAAATTCCTACTAGTATGACTTAGTTCCCCACTGTCTTCAGCTTTTATTGCTTTCTGTAACAAGCTGGCTCACTCCTTTCCTAATGAAATAAACTAGACTCTACCTTTCCATATCAGAGCTCAACGTATGTCAACTTCAGATTAACAGATTTGAGGTGAGAAAGAAAGGGTTATAGAAAAATCATGGCATGTTTTAAAATGGTAATTCTGTGAGGAAGGCCACCTAGAAAATAGACAGTAAAATAAGGTTGTTAGACATCACATCATAAGCTGACTGATGTTTACAGATATGAGGAGATCTGCAAAGAATATTGACAAAAAACATATTTTTAACAAGTATATGTGGAATGTGTTGCAGGAAAGATTTTTAAAAAAAATTTTTTTAGGTTTTTTAAAGTGCATGCCTGCATTGCACAATGATTGCATTCTAAGTGGGGAACTGATACATGAACATGAAATATGTTAATTACTTTCAACCCCACCCACATATCTTGACCCTATCCCCATTTGAATAACTTTTATCTCCTTTATTCCTATTACCTATCTTTAACTGGCTGTTTAGTTTGGGTTACCAAATTTAAAATGTTGTATTGGTACATGTTGTGAGTACATAATGCTTACTTTTATTTCAGAAAGTAAGGATATGCTCTTATCATACGTTGATTCCTTTTATTCCCCTTAGCCTCCATTTCTCCCTCCATATTAGGAATCAGGGAGAAATCCCTTCACATGCACTTGTGGATATCTCAGTATATATATATAAGAAGAATGGGAATGATACCAAGAATCTATACCAAAATTAAATAAATAAGCAATGATAGAAATAATACCAAACTGAGAGGGAAACTTAGTGAAGACAGTGCTATGTCTGGAAAGAGATCAACAAAGTGGCTTAGGCTTCATCTTGGTTGATTCAGGTGCATGTAAAGGAGGATCAAATTACAAAATCTAATTTAAAAGTCAAATACCTCTTTCTTTTCTCACTGGAAACTCTTACTAAACAACATAAAATGAAAGATGAATAATAACAGTGGAAAGGAAAATCTATGTATGCACATAAAATGGAGCCAAGTTATCTAAAGCACATGCACTGTCTATGAGATATGAAGGGAACACATACACTGTCAATACCATGGAGGCATACTGATAGCACCAGGATGTAAAATAAACACACCAAAGCATCAAATTTAAAGTAAATACACTTGCATGTCTGGGCTCTAGCGGGAAGATGCTAGCAAGTATGAGTCAAGTGACATTGATAAGCCTTTGCTGTACAGAGCCCTATGAAGTCAGCTTTTAAGGATCTGACAGATCAGGTGACGCTCTTAGAACCACTGATAATGGACTTTGAGAGATTATAACATATTTTTAAGATACAGCTCATTTATTGTCTTATTTTTATTTGATGTCTACCTGCTCTACACTGTTGCTTCCCAGTTCATATTCTGTGTTTGTATGTGTATTACTCCTGATCAGCATTTTGAAAAATTTTCTTTTGTTAGACAATCTAATGTATGTGGATCTTAGTAGTTACTTATGTTGCTGAGTATTTTTTTAGAGAGAGATTCTCACTATGTACTTCCTTAGACTCACTATGTAGTACATATTCGCCTCAAAGCCTCAGCAGTTGTCTAGCCTCAGCCTCTCAAATTCTGGGATAAAGAAATACACAACCATATCTGATTGGATGTCACATTTTAAAAATGCAATTTATGCCACAATTTGTTTATAATTTTAAATCACACAACACCATTTTGAAAAGAAATAGATAAAATTTTCACATACATTACCAAAATCAGTTGCCTTATTCTATCTTGGCTTATGAGGCAAACAATGGAGGGAGTGGAACACACCACATGGTCACATTTGTGATGTTCACTAGTACCATCTGATGGACATTGCCAAGAGTAGTTGCAATGGATGTGCAGAGAAGGCCCTTCCTCACCATTTCACATTCAGCACTCATGAGGGGCAAGTGGGGATGAGGACAGTTACAAAGTTTCAGAAGCCCTTGATCTGTAAAGAGCTCCAAATGTCTGTCTCCTGTTTCCAGTCTGGTAGTGAAAGGTGAGTTGAGACTTTGGATGTGATTTTTCAAACATTGGATTCTGCCAGCAGATTTGGAAACTTAGTTCATTATGAAATCACGAGGCTCCAGGAGCAAGAATCTGAGAGGATGAGGCAGAATATCTCAGTCTTGGGGAAGGACCAGTATTTCTGTACAGCTGTGGACAATTCTGATTTTAAAAAGCCAAGAGTTGTGTGAAATGGAGCTATATTGACTCTAAAAGTTGACTCCAAATTAGGATTCTATGAGGACCTGGAAAACAACTCTATAAGTTGTGTATGAAGACTACACCCCAAAATCAATTAATACTTTTAGAAAATTCCATCGTGGAAAATGGACCAGTGTTGTATGGAGTAGAAAGAAAGATTAGTCATACTTTTAAACATTTTTCTCCATCTTCAAATAGAATCCCACACTCTTATCTATCCCATTCCAAATGTCTCATGAAAAAGGTAGGCTGTGTTGAGTTTTTCCAGTGTAGTTAAGAGACAAAGAGTAAAAGAGATAAGAAGGTCTTTATTGATAGCACAAGAGGGCTGCTGAAAGAATGCATGATTCCTCTGCCAAGAACAAAGAAATGGAAGAAATTTTATCAGGTCTGGCTGGGGGAATAGATTGGGAGGTGTGCAAAATGGTATGTCAACAGCTGATTTGAGGTTGCATCTGCGTGTGCAAAATGGAAAACAGAAATGTTTAGTGGAAGTTGAGGGAAGAAGAAGAATGTGATAAGGTATTGCATTGGAAACTTATTTGTGCTGAGCTGTTGCCATGATTATTTGGTGAATTTTATGTGGGCAAAAACCCTTTATTAATTAACAGAAATTACTTTTAGAGAGATAAGTCATTTCTCATGGTCCAGGGTGAAGTCCTATTAGAGTTAGGAAGCTCCAATCTGGCAGAATCTATCAATTCCATTTTTTTGTTGTTGTTGTTTTCTGGGTGAACAAGGACTGCGATCATTTTAGATGACCTTTTGCTGGTGAGCAGCATTATGGTAAGGGCTATTGCAGGGATTATGTTTGATAGGCCCACCTGAAAGCTGGTGCCAGGGATCTCAGCCAGGACAAGGAGCACTCTAATAGTGAAGATCCCTATCCTGGATTGGATAAATCTTTAAAAATTTCAAAAGAGAGGATGGTATAAGTAATGATATGACTAGTAGTGAGAAGGTACCATCAAGTGGAGGAGATAGGACTCCTAAGCCCTCAGATAAAGTCAGATGTAAAAAGCTTGTTTGAACCAAAACCAGGACAATCATCACTCTCCCACCTCTCACCACTCTTTGGCTTTATCATCTAATACTGCCTAAAATAAATCCCTCAACCGTACTCTCTTCTCCTAGAATTCTACTCATTCTCCTTCTAGGATACTACTGATAGCTTCTCACTATTTCTCTCCTCAACATACAGTCTCTCTGTTACATTCTCTGTCTCTGT